GGGCGGGGACAGCGGGAGGACACATGCAGGCGGCATGTCCCGTGCAGCCAGGCCATGAGGGGAGGGGCAGCGGTAAGAGGAGGCACAGCAACAGGATGGGGTGAGCCTGTGGTGGGGGAAGGCCCTGCAGGGGCAGGCACCCCAGTCATAGGTAGGAACATGGCCGTGCTGAGAACCCTGCTCTTGCTCGGTCCACTGGCTGCATCCTTTGAGCATGTGAGACACACTGCCGCATTCATAGATGTCCCAGATATAGAGCACAGGCGCGCGCACACACTCACACACACACACACACACACACACACACAGGACAGACACCCATATGTACATGCGGAGACGTATACCACCGCACCCAGACGCAGAGATGCTGGGACGAGCATCTCTGGAGCCAGGTGCAGTCCCACCTATGGGTGCTCACTCTCTTACTCTCACACACACATGTGGATGGACACACAGCTACACCTGGCCACAGCTTTTGTCTGCCATACCCACAGAGCTCAGGTGGGTGGTCATTGGGGGACGGTATGCTTGGGATATAGGCAGGCAGTCCGGGAAAGTACGGCGCTCCACATGGACACCCGGAATTCCAGAGCCCACCCGTGACATAGAACAGATGCCTGCTGGCGTTCCAATGGCCAGGCGGGGTCTGTGGCAAGGGCCCTGCCTCTGCTCTTGGTCAGAGGAAGTGCCTGAAGGCTGAAGTGCTGGATCCGGAAGCTTCTGCTTCTCCAAGTCCAGAGCCCTCAGGGTGCATAGGAACCAGAGCTAGGAGTTCCCAAGTCCCTTCTTAAGGACTCGACTCAGAGTGTCAAAGGGGGCCTGGGCACAGGCCCTGCTGGAAGTGTGGGGCCGAGGGGCCAGCCTAGGACTCATCGTGAGGAGTCAGTCCCTGGGGGGCTCACAGCTGGGCTCTGTTTCAGGGTACCCACGGAGGCTGACTGCCTCCCATGGGAACGTGTAGCTCAGGGACTGAATGACAACTTCCCTGACACCCTTTAACCCTCGTGCCTTGCTCGTAGCTGCATTCCAAATACCTAGTGTGGGTACGCAGAGTAGGGGTAACAGCGAGACTTGGCGAACGCACGAGCGAGTGGGTAAGAGAACAACTGGAGGACTGAGTGAGAGAAGAGGCAGCCCTGAGGGAAGGGCTGCTTCAGCATCCGGGGCTGCGGCTCTGGCACCAGTGGAGAGGGAGTGGGTGGGCCACCTCACCTCTGAGCCAGGAGAACAGAATGCGAGAGTGGCAGGAGCAGGGGGAGATGGGCATGGGCCCGGGCAGGGGGATGGCACTCACCCTACAGTGCCCCAATGCCCTGGAAGCTGGCAGGGGTCAGAGTGAAGGTCTTCCAGGCTCTTGCTTCTCCTTCATGGCTTGGGGTCTCCTTGATGAGTGTCCCCAAAGTCAGATGCCCCACGCCCCGAGGGTGCACCTTGATGCCCACCGGTGAGGCTCCTCTGCAGACTGCTGGTGCCACGGGGCAGTGTGCATGTGTGCGTGTGAGTGTGCACGTGTGTGCGTGTGTGCATGCCTGTTGCTGTGCAGCCGGAGGGTGGGGTGGGTGCAGTGGTCACGCCAGAGCAGGGCAATGTCCCTTGGGTGGAGCGCTCTGGGCTCTGGGCCTGACAGACGTGAGTGTTGGTACCCCGCCCCACAGACTAGAGTCACAGAAAGGCAGGAAGAGACGAGAGTAAGCAGGTAATGGTCTCCTGGGACACAACCCACCCTGAGAAGGGGTAACGCCCCTCAGTCCTCTGGTGGGCATCTGTGAGGAGTCTCAGGTGGGCACAGGGCAGAGAGGAATTTGCATAGCAGGGGAAGGGTCCTAGCAAGCTGTGGGAGTGGGGGGTGGGCGGTGGGATGGTTAGAGAACAGGGCACTTAAGCAGAGCAGTGTGGCTGGCAGTGCCAAGCAGGGATCCAGCGCACAAGGATGGCATCCAAGTGGGGCAGGCAGGGATGCAGGGTGCCCACCCGGGCACTGAGAATGCAGGAGCCAGCCTGGGGGAAGGGCGGGGGAGGGAAGCAGCACCAACTCGGGCGTGGGCAGGGGGCACTCAGTCCCAGCCACCCCCCCACCAGCCCCGAGGCCTGCCCCACCAGGCATGTCAGGATGCAGCTTTCTGGCCCCCCTCCCCCATAAAACCATCCTCCCATGCTCTGTAGCCACCTCCACCCCCAAGCGCCTGTGTTCACTGCCAGTAAGTCCACCAGCCCCTTCTAGCTCAGGCCCAAGGAACCAGACAGTCCACTGAAGGGCTGAGGAATCCATAGAGTGGGGAGGGGTCTCCCTAGACCACCAGGGGCCCAGCTGATGACGCTTGTGACTGCCCCAAGAGGGGGGCCCTCCAAGGCTGGATACCCTCGCTGTCCTGGCTCTCCACAAACTGACGGCGCCTCAGTCCCCGGCATGGGGAGTGGGGGGACTTGGGTGTGGGAGGAAGGGAGGCTTCTCTTCTTGCTGAAGGCCCAGGGCTGAACCAGGTTGACTTGTGCAGGGTCTGATTAGCGGGCTAGTGGCTTCCAGAGAATTGGCCCTATCCAGGCCAATCCAAACAGCCTCCTCCTCCCCAGCCAAACGGAACTCCTGTTCCCCGGACCTGCCCTCTCCTGAGCCTTGGCCCGCTTGGCTCTGGACACCTGGAATGCCCTTTCCCTGTATTCCTCTGTGCATGTGTCTGCTCCTCCCTTCCCCAGAACCACCTCCTGTACTCCCCCACCCCCGGGGGACGCAGGGAGGACAGACCACCAACTGCCAGAGGGGCTGCTCAGGACAGCCTGGTGGGGGCTGCTGGGAGGGGAAGCAGAGAGACCAGTGCCCTGACCCCAGCACTCGGGAGGGGGCGCCCCACTCTTTGGAGAGGGAGGGGCTCAGAGCTGGAGAGGCCTGGGTTACCTGAGAAGAAGTGGGCCTGGAAGCCCTTTTTGGAGACGGTATTGTCGGACTTGAACTCCACGCGCATGTTGTTGTACTGGGAGGTGATGACCTCGGGCTTCTCGGAGCCGCAGAACTTGCCATGCAGCTTGGAGTCGGCTGTGAGGCCGCTTCGCACCTCCACGAAGTCGTACTTGCACACCTGCAGGGGGGCCCAGGCCAGGCTGCCTCCTCCGGGAAGCCCCTCCCGGTGGGTGACCCCCGTCCCCACCCGGGGCAAACTCCCTGTCTGTGGATGCTTGTGGTAGCCTCGAATGACATCCTCACACTTCCCAGTGGTGCCCCCTCCCAATGGAGCCCTGCATCTGAGCTTGCCCCACGTGCCCTGGCTGGGAGCAGTCCCGCCTCCCCTGCATTCTTGGCGTGCTTCTGCCTCTGACCTCCCTGCCCTCCTCAGCCCGGGGAGGGCACTTACGTCGTTGCCCTCTGTCTCAAAGAAGTCGAACTGCAGGGAGATGCGGTACTGGGTGGGGGCCACCAACTGCCAGATGCAGTTTTTGTTAGGGGGATACTCCTTGGGCCAGCCTGGGCTGGTGATGGAGCCGTTGAGCTTGGTGAGGAATCCACCACAGGCCGCTGGGGGGACAAGGGAGGTGGCATCATGCGTTAGGGTTCCTGCTCTAGGGGAGGGGTGTTGCCAGGGCTCAGGGACAGCTGGGCTGCATCTCGGAGGAGACAGGGATGTAGGGTTCCCAGCAGCCCCGGGGCTGCAGCTGGTCGCTCTGGGACAGATGGGAGGAGGAGGCAGTGGGAGGGTGGACTCTTCAGGGGCCAGCTGGGAGGGAGGTGGGAGTGTGAGGACTTCAATGTGTGGCCATTTCTATTTTCTCAGAGAGAGAGAGAAAGAGAGAAAACCGGCCAGGGTGTCTGCTGAGAAGAGGGACTGGGGTGGTGGTGAGGGGCTCAAGGCATGGGGTATGGGCACATGGACAGGGAGGAGTGGAAGGAGGCGGGAGGGAGGGACCAGACAGTTGGGAGATGGTCAGGCAGCATGGAGTGCTCACACCAAGGGTGGGGACTGGTGAGGCAGGAAGGGATTTTCACAGCCTCTGGGAGCCTCCTTAGAGAGAGGCCATCCTCGAACAGTGTTTCAAATGGAGAGGCTGGTGGGCGGTGAAATCAATTAACAGGTCAAGTGCAGCGTTAAGAAAAATAAGTAAGAAGAACAATAAGTTTGAACAAAACAAAGCAAAACAAAAAACCACAAACCAATACCAGGGTGCCTCACACAGATTTTCAATATGAAACGCGTTTCTTAGCGTGAGCTGTGAAGAGAGTTGGGGGATCTTTGGGGCTCAGTCAGGGAAGAAAGGGAGTCCCAGGATGACATCTGTTCAGGGGAATAAGAAACCCCATTCCCCAGGGGGCAGCAGAAACCTGAGGCAGCATGGGGGGCACTCACCCTCACAGCGGCGCTTGTCGGGGGCCAGCTCATAGCCTGGGTCACAGCTGCACTTGTAGCTGCCCAGGGTGTTGAGGCACCGCTGCTCACAGCCCCCACGGTTGGGCCGAGAACACTCGTCCACCTCTGGCATGAAGAAAGGAAGGTCAGGGGCTTCTAGGCCAGGCCATCTTCCTGACCTCTGCTGCAGGGCCAAGTCCCTAAGGCTTCTCATGGCCACCCCAGTCTCATGCCAATGTGTGTGTGGGGGGGGGGGCACAGTCAGCTGTGAGTCTCACTTGTCTGCTCAGCTGAGAGACCAGGGGCCTCCCCCTGCCCCACCTGCTGCACCCATCCAGCCAAGGGCTGCTTAGAACCCTACTCAGGTGCTGAGGGTGTTCTACTTGTGAGGCTCCCAACAGGACAGTAGTGACCTGAGGTAGTGGACAAGGTGGGAAGATGTTGGTCTGGACACACACCCACCCACACACCCACCCCCCACTGAGCCTGCCTCCTGACTCTAACAGCCATCGCCATTTACAGAAGTCGCTTAGGGACCATGCTCTGGGTTTAGGACACCGCTTCATTGATGCTTAGACCAGCGGTTCTCAACCTGTGGGTCAAGACCCCTTTGGGAATCAAACGACCCTTTCACAGGGGCCGCCTGATTCATAACAGTAGCAAAACGACAGTGATGGAGTAGCAACAGAAATAATGTTATGGTTGGGGGGTCCCCACAACATGAGGAACTGTATTTAAGGGTCGTGGCATTAGGAAGGTCGAGAACCACGGGCTCAGACCCTGACACTACACCTGTGATGGAGGGACTGAAACATCCCAGGGGACTGGCCGAGTGACACACGAAGGAGTCCCCGCTGCCTCTCTCCTAGAGCCTACAGCTTGCACAGCACCCCCTGCCTCGCCCCTTGTTGGTGTTCCTTTTCTACAAACTCTGGGGGCTTCCAGGAACTCCTCAACCGTCCCAGAACTCACGACAGAGCACGCACTGCAGCGTGCACTGCACACCAGCTACTTTTATAGAGGGCGCATTGTTCACTCGCTCCGTTACCCGGCTTTTCAGGTGGGTGGGTCTTTCCTCCCCAGGTAAGAGGCTCCGACAGAGCAGGGCTCCCGGTGTCGGTCCTGCCTGCACCCTTCCCAGAGTGAAAGGAGTGGGAGTCAGGGGCACAGGTTGAGAAGAGGGAGAGAGGCACCTTTGAAAAAGTTGACGGCGAAGCCAGCTTTGTTAATGGATCCGTCAGAGACGAACTTGAGCCACAGGCGGCTGGAGGTGCTCTTGATGTCGTCCGGCTTCTCATAGCCGCAGTAGCGCCCAACGAGGGGGCTGCTCTCGCTGTGCCCGTCACGCACCTCCAAGTAGTCGTAGGCACAGCTGTCGTGACGCTCGATCTGGAGGTGGGTGAGGGGGTTATCAGCGGGAGCTCCCACTTACGGGGGGGACAGACGGATAAGGCCAGGGGCCCGGGTGTCGTATCAGAGGGCCTCTGGGCTACCTCAAAGGACTGGAAGGTGAGGCCCACGTGGAAGCCTTCGGACACCTGGATCCGCCAGATGCAGACTTTGCTGGGCCGGTAATCATCCGGGTAGTTGGGTGACTGGATGTGGCCGTTGTCCTTTTTCACATCACCCCCACAGATGGCTTTGAGGACCCAGGGGGAAGTGGGAAAGGGAGGTGGATCAGAATGCCCTTCTCTGCTTGCCAGCCCCGTTCCCTGTTCCCCTGCTATCCCACAGCCCTCTGCTGTGACCCCCTGTGACCCCCTGCTATCCAGTGCCCTCCAGGCCCCGGCCAATCCCACTGCCCCTCCAATTACTTGAAGCCCGCCTTTTTGCCCTCCCTCCAACCTTGCCCCTGCCCTCCAGCTGGGGCCTTGCATGCGACTCCCACACCCTTCCCGAAGTACCTTCATAAACAGCAAAGAAGCCCTTTCCAACCCAATTGCTGCTGCTGCGGAATTCAACCCAGAGGCGGCTGTCGGTGGAGACGATGGGCTCAGGGAGTTTGCCCCCGCAGAAGCGGCCTGCACGGTGTGGGCAGAGGGGCAGTGAGGGCCCTGCTGATAGTCCCGCTCCCTGTCTGACATCAAACCTGGCTCTTAGCACGCCTACCCTACTTCTGTGGGGGCTTGGGGTCCCCGGCCTTGACCTGTGGCTACTCTATCAGTTTTCCCACTGCTGTGCAGGCCCCTAGCACCTGACGCACACATTCCCGAGTCTGCGCCCCTTGGATTAGCTTGTGCTTGCAAACCAAAGGCCATTCCGGAGGACAGCAGGCACCTGGGACAGGGGTCAGTTTCTGGGAGCAAAGTGGGGCCTTCTGATAACCAACAGTCTCGGGCCAGGTATCAACCTACTATGGACACTACAACATGCTTTCACTTGACCGAATGCAGGCCATGCAACTGGACGCCAGTCCATCCCAGGATTGGAGACTGAGTTGGGTGGGGGGTGGGGGGGGTGAGCCTCCTTTGAAATAAAAACCAACAAGAAGCAACATCTGGGGGGCCCAGTGGAATTCTCAGCAGTCAAGCCTCTGCACAGGATGATTTGTGTGTTCCTAATAAGACTGGGTGTTTCCCAACTTCCCACAAAGGGACAGAGGGTGCTGACCCAGGAATGCGAGTTACGAACAAGGAACTGCAGTCTTGGAAACAGGAACACGGCTGTCCGAGGAAGTGTTGTATTGACAGCTGCTTTGGGGGACTGGGAAGGACTAGTCGGATATCATAAACTGGGAGGAAGAGAAGCAAGTGTTGGCAGGAATCCATCCATCCGCCTGCTTCAGGCACAGTCTGTGGGGCCCAGGCTTCTCAGGCGGATGAGCAGCCCCGAGCTGCAGACCGCAGAAAGGAGATGTCACAGTCCTCTCTGCACGTGCAACGGGAAAACTCTCAAGGAAACACCTGGCTCCCTTAGCCCTAATTCGATGTTCTCAGCAGCCCCTTCTGCTGTGCGAATTGAACTCTTACTCTCCCAGCCCCACCCTGGCCCCAGCACACACCAACCCGGGCTCACTGCCGTCGTGGAATCCATTCCAACTCACAGCAACCTCCTCTGTAGATTCAGAGCCCCAACCTTTTGGTTAGCAGCCGCAAGGTTTAACCACTAAGCCACCAGTAGACCCCACCAGAGACAAAGGATCCTATGAAAGCCATCACTGGCCACCGCCCCTGGCATGCAGTCCCTCCCCTGGTCAGTTAACAGACCGGCTCCCTTTTGAACCTGGCAGCACAGTGGACACGCTGAACTGGACCGGGCAGACAGGTGAAGGGGGGTCTCTGAAATTGCCCGGAGAGGAGCAGAACATGGAGCTGTGGGGATGCTCTCAGGCCCAGGGCAGAACTGGCTGCCTGCCTCTCAATGCCAGTTCAAATGACTCCCTCCCCTCTCCGTAGGACAGCCACCCTGCCAGGGAGGCCTGGGAGCACGCATCAAGGACCGTGCAGTCCAGAGCAGGAGGGCACTTGTCCAGGGTCACACGACGAACTGGTTATGCGGCTGGGACCATGATGTTGCTACCGGCAGTATCAGGCCCCCCCGAGAAGGATGAAGAGAGCGTGAGGGGGCTCCTGGTGAGAAGGAGCCAGTCATGGGAGGAGGCAGGAGGGCAAGCTGGGGTGCGGTTTACCTCGGAGGGGTGCCTTTCTCCAGAATCCATCTCGAACCTCCACATAGTCATACCAGCACAGGCGGCTGCGGTAGAGATCCATGGACGTGAAGTTAAGAATGATCTAGGGGAGACGGGGTGAGGGTAAGAGAGAGGGTTACACTCCTCCCCACACCTTGGCCAGACTCTTGACCACTGCCCACGTTTGCTAGTTGGTAACAGTGAGGGGTGCCAAAAAAGGAACTTCTGTAGCAGAAATGTCACCCTGGAGCAGATGCCCTCCTGTTGAAGTCAGCCTTCTTCCTAGGCGCCCCAGGCGGAGAGATGAGCATGGGCCCAGCACTCCCATTTTGGCGGCCTCCCTCTGGTATGGGCCATTGCTTTGGGTGAAACACTCGGCTTGGCCGGCAGTCCACTCAGATCGTATCAACCACAGCCTCTGCAGAGGGTCTGGCTCTCTGCAGCCATAGGGAGAGTCTGGGTGGTGTGAGGGCTCTGAACTGGGAGTGAAAGGCCTAGAGGGGAAAGGCTGAGTTATTGATCATCCCAGTGTATGGAGTGCTTACTCTGGAGGGGTGCTGGCTGCTGAGGGGGCGGCCAGGTCTGAATCCTGCCCTTGAAGGTTTTTAAGATGCACTCCTGTCCTCGAGGTACCATGACTTCAAAGGATAAGATGTAGACATTAAAAGAACACTTGGTGAAAAAACAAAAAACAGAACTCCAACCCCAGCACACAAGCCTGGGTTTCAATGACAGCTCTACATTGCGTGTTCTGCTGTAGGGCCATTCGGGTCAATTACCACAAGACCCTGAACCCAGCTGTCTCGAGTGTGGATTGGGGACACGTGCCTCTAACCCTTAGATGGTACTTCACACACCCAAGGTGTTGCCCCACCGCCTCTCATCAGCGGGGTCACTAGAGGGTATGGGGGACACAGTCTGCACCAGGTGACACCATCAGAGGGGATGGGGCTGAAATAAGTGTCTGAAAAAATTTCTGCTCCGTGTTTCAGCAGAAATGTATTTTGTTTTGTTTTTTCAGCAAAAATGTATTATTATTTTTTAATTGAATAATCCCTGCCGCTAGAATAACAAAAACAGTTTTTCCCTGTAAGCCCAGCCTACATGTGTCAATGACGCCTGGGAGGTGAAAAATTCCATGCGGATTCACTTTCTGAACCTTTGGATGTGTTCAGGTCAGAGCCGTCATTATCACCCAACCGCGAGCATGCTTCCAACCACGTGGCTTTGTCTGCAAGAGCTACATGCATGAGGAATTGTTTGGTTACCTATGTTTTTAGAGTTGCTGATTTTGTCAGATTTTCTGATGTTTTCCTACAGTATTGTAGTAATTAGGGTTTGTGAACCTGTGGCCATAAATAACTTTCTTGGGAATGAAGTAGTAATTAAAGAAGGAGAACATTTTTAAAAGGTGTCTGTTCAGTACCTTTTATTGTTGCTATTCATAATGTAATTGACAGGAGAAAGATTTTGTTGCTAGTCTCCATAGAGTCTAAGAAATATTACATTTCCGCCACTTACGACTCTATTGGTTACCTCATTTCTATGATTAAAACTGATGGTAACCTTACGAAGGATTCTCTATGGTCTGCTAAGAAAGGAAATCCATGGGGTTAGGGGTAGCGTGTGTGTGTGTGTGTGTGTGTGTGTGTGTGTGTGGCATTGAGCCTACCACACAGCGACATCACTGCCTCCCAAGTATTAACTTGTTTCCGCTTCATTAAATGGGAATTCCTTCCTGCTGGAGGAACACTGTACACTGATACGGAGGTACCAGCCTTCCTTAACAGGTCATCATGCTAACAAGTTGCGAAGCGCACTTTCCAGAAAGGAAAGTTTCCTTTCTGTGAGTTTCCAGAGCGAGCCCAAATGCCTGCATACAGGGTTTCCAGCAGCAAGAACCACCGGGAGCCAGCTACTCTGCACTGCCAGGGTAACCAGCGGATGACCTAAGGGGCTCACCCTGATGGAATGGCAGGTGCCCTGCTGGAGCAGAAGAAGCTAAGAAGGTCCCGCACCCGATGGCTTATGGGCGAGTTAGAAGCAGACAGAGTGGAAGCCCAGATGAAAAGGTGCCCAAGCGGGCACCAGCGATTGCTCTCTGTAACCAGGGCCGATGGTGCTCAAGGAAGAGCTGCTTGCTCACCGTCACTGACACCAAGCCCGTCATATTTCTTGGCGACTTAAACACCCAGCTGGGTAATCCTCCCAATGTCCTGGCCTCTCCGCTCTGTGACTCTCCTATCTGAGGCTCTCTGTCTGTGCTAAACCACACACCCCCGTGGCCTGCCCCAGATTTGGCACTCATCAACAAATGTGTGCTCTTCTCAGCCTCTCGGTTTCAGGACCCCTGCATCTTCATCCACACATGCCTCCCCCCACCGCCCCGATGTTCCCACGCCCACTTCACAGCTGTTTTCCACTCACAACCTCATTTTTTTCGCAACTGGGAAAGCACTGCCAGAAACATCTCTGATCCATTATGTGTTTGATTTTGAATTAAAGTTTGGTCGTTGGGCATTCAGAAACCTTTTACTCTTGCCAAATTTTTGTGGCCGCACCCCCTCCCCACACACATTGAGTTTAGGTTACTTTGTTTTAGTACATGGAGCCCAAGGATACCTCCAATTCACCGTGACCATCACTCCATTGAGCCTACCATCTTCTCACTGCCCCTCACCTCTTCACGAGCCCCGGTGGAGTAGTGATTACATGCTGGGCTGCTGGCTGCAAGGTCTGCAGTTCGAAACCACCAGCTGCTCCTCGGGAGAAAGATAGGGCTTTCTACTCCCATAAAAGGTTAGTTGCAGAAACTCACAGGGGCAGTTCCACACCGTGCTAACGGGTGGCTCGGACTCGGAATCGGCTTGATGGCAGTGGGTTTTCCCCTCTTTCACGATGCACATCTCTGGAGCTGCCTCATGAGCCCACGGTCCACCCTCCCTCATTTCTTTTGATTCGTTCCCGAGTGTAATGTATTTATGCCCGAGGGTCCTTTTATTAATTGTGGCTCTCAACGATAAATAGAATGAGATCAGGTTTTCCATGACATTTTTCAAAGTCATGGATAGGCTCACCCAACGGGAACCCTTACTTGCCATTGTTAGTTTCCGCCTCAATGTCACCCAACACGAATGGGCCCTTCCCTCACAGTCCCACATAAACAGCCGTGCTGTTATGGATTCAATCGTGCCCCTCCCGACCCCCACAAAAGGAAACAAACTCCCTGCCATAGAGTGGGTGCTGACTCATAGCAACCCTATAGAATAGGGTAGCCCTGCCCCTGAGAATTCCCGAGACTAACTCTTAACTGGAGTACAAAGCCCCACCTTTCTCCTGTCCTCAGACCCCACCCAAATATGTACTGAGATCCCTAACCCCACACTTATGGATGTAATCCTGTTTGGCAGCAGGCTTTTCATTATGATGTGAATAAGGCCATAGCAATTTAGGGTGTGCCCTACATCTAACCACTTTTGAGCCAGAAAAAGACCAGAGTAGGCACATCGACACGCACAGGTAAAGGCAGGTGATCTGTGACAAATGACTTGCTGTTGTTAGAGACTGTTGCGTTGGTTCCCACCCACAGCGACCCCACGCACAACGGAACACAACACAGCCTGATGTTGCTCCATCCCCACGATTCGGTTGTGTCTGAGAGGGGCCTTCCTCTTTTCACTGCCCCTCTACTTTACCAACCATGGTGCTCCTTTTCAAGTCCCTCCCGGCAACACAGCCAACATATATGAGATGGAATCTCACCATCCTCTACTCTCAGAGGAATAGACTGAAACTCACTGCAAAACAGACAGAAGCGCCTCACTGCCTTTGAGTCAGTCTGACTCCTAGCAACCCTGTGGGGAGAGTAGCTCTTCCTCCTTTGGGTTTCAGAGGCAGTCGATCTTTTCAGGGACATGCAACCTCAGCTTTCTCCCTTGGAGTGCCTGGTGAATTTGAACTGCTCACCTTGTGGTTAGTAGCACAGCACATAACCCACTATGCCACCAGGGCTCCCAGAGAACAGATTACAAGCCAAGAAATCGGGGAACATCAGGGGCTACCAACAAAGACGGCATCAACATGGCTGAGATGCGAACCTGGACGTGGGCAGCCAGCCCCCAGAACGAGGAGAAAGCACGCTGCTGGTCTTTAAAGTCACTGACTTGTGGTCTTTCTGTTAAAGCTGCATTCTCCTGCTTCCCCCTCCTTCCCTCACCTCTTACGCCGTGGGTTCCTCCCAAGCTCTTGCTGACTGCTTACTGTCCATCTCCCCTCAGCCTGCGCCAAAACACAAAGTCCAGAAGGCCATGGATTTTGCCTGTTCAGTTCGCTGTGGTTGGGCCCAGTGCCTGGCACGGAGCAGATACGCCAGTGAACAGCGTTTCAATGAATGCGTGAGATTGTGCTTGAAGGAATCTGCTATACAGATAGACTTGCCCACGGGTACAAAGATGCGTGTTTTAAAACATTTACCCTAGCATGGTGAGTAATACCAGAAATGTAGAAAAGCTTCCAAGGAAGGGAGAAAGGTGAAACTGATCGCAGTGATCGACACATAACCATATTCCTCTCTCCAGGGGGAAGAACAACAGAAAACATGGGGGAAGGGAGACAGCGGTCAGTGTGAGAGATGAAAATAATAACAATATACAATCTACCGGGAGGTTATGGGGCGGGGCGGGGAGAGTTGATACCAAGGGCTCAATAGAAAGTAAATGTCTAGAAAAGAATGAGGGCAACATATGTACAAACATGCCTGATTCAACTGATGTATGGATTGTGATAAGAGCCCCCAATAAAATGACTTAAAAAAAAGAAAAGCTTCCCTGAAATATGCTGCAGCAGTGCCCGCTCCCTCCCGGACTTGCACCAGGGCCAATAGTGAGCGCACCTTCATTGCCATCAAGCCGGACGGCCTGGTGGGCGACATCATCAAGCGCTTTGAGCAGAAGGGCTTCCGTCTGGTGGCCATGAAGCTCCTTCAGGCCTCCGAGGAACACCGAAGCAGCACTGCGTTGACCTGAAAGACCGGCCCTTCTTCCCAGGGCTGGTGAAGTACATGAACTCAGGACCCATTGTGGCCATGGTCTGGGAGGGGCTGAA